CGTAAAAAGTGGCGTACGCAAGTTTCTGGGCTCAAATTGTGCGTACGCCAGTTTTATAAATCCAACCCCAGGTGTTCAGGTTCAAACACCAAAAGTCCAGATTGACCCGTTCCAACTGTGAAAGAGGTGAGTGAATTAGTGTTGGATTGTAAAAAATATATTTAAAAAAATCACAATATAAACACAGAATGGAATTCACAGCGAACTTCCACTAAGTTTGCACTCAGTCTTTTGCTTTTTTTTTCTATTTCATGGAACCTAATTAGTAAACGTTTGTGGTGATTCTGAAAATTTCGCAAAAATCACAAAGTCAATATCATTTATTTTGTTGAGTATCTCACACACTTTACTGTATTTATTTTTTATTTTTTTGGATAACCTTTATACAGTACATTTTATTTATTGGGAGCATTTAAGCTTCAAAAATTGGCATTTATAGGTTTGTTTTTGGACCACATCCAATATTTGCAGTTTTTCGTATATAAGGGTTCTCTAAGAACGTAAGCCCCGCAAAATGTTCAGGTTCATTGTAAATCTAATATGCAGTTCACGTGCAAAAATGTAATAAAGAAATTATACACGACATGGGATTTCTCAAAAGATCATTCTCAAAATAAATAAATAAATAAATAAATAAAGTAAGCCTACATGTCTGTAAATATATTAAAAAATCTTCATGTATCTGATAGAGCTGGCATATTCAGACCCAATCCTTTAATCTTTCAGTACTGGCTAATAAACAGTAACAATCATGTGCTAATCTTAGATTTATAACCTCTAATTGTAAAGAAATATTATTTTATGCTTAAAGAATTGGCAGGTTTGAAATTAGCTTTCCTGATATACAGTATACTAATAAAAACAGAGTAATTTACCAATTTAATAAGAATTAATGTTGAAGTGTAAAGTTTTTACAAGCAATAACAACTGCAGCAAATAGAATTCTAGCATGAAACAACAAAACTGCAAACAAAATGGTTAAACTGTGTGCAACTGTAGAACTTGACGAGACAGATATTTTCCACAATCACTAATACGTAATAATAATAATAATAATAAATAATAACAGTCACTCCAGTAATTTTCTATTGATTCGTACTTATTGGATTAAAGAATCTAATGAGTCAAAGAGGTTCAAGTGTTGTGAAATTAAATGCTGCGGRGATACCTGAACATTAAGAGGCACAAACGAGACGAGGCTATAATCTTGTACAACTTCTGCCAACTTTTCATTCAGYCGGTGGAATTTCTTAAAGAAGGGATCTGCAGCCAGGTGATCGAGAAGATAGGTCAGGTCCAAAACCTCCGTGTAGAAATCCAGGTTAAAAGCTGTAAAAACGTACAAACACAAAGAGGATATTTAGAGTATTGTAAAGGAGGCATTKAATTAAATACACCATGTGCACAAATTAGAAATMTAAAAATGCATATCAGAGAAATGTCCGTTATCCGTAGCACTTTGTTTGCTTTTGTTTTGGCCAATAAGTCTTTTATGACCTAGTTTTCCATACTGCTCGATCAGATCCATCTTGGAGAGGATGTTGACGTGGGGGAGCTCCACGTGCAGCATGGTGGACAGGGACGTGCACAGAACAGAGATGAACTTGGCTGGATCGGCGCAGTAATGGGAGTCCACCAGGTGCACCGCCGTCAGCTGAGAGGAGAAAGCGGGAAACAAATATGACACCTCGTGTTTCCTAACAAATTGTGGTTTCCCAGAGCCACGATGCTGATTATTCCTACCCTGAAATTCCACCWGCTCAGCTGTGAGAATATGTTCTTCACTGAACTCTGGTGGGTGTAGAGCTCCACCTGTCCGGGACAGTCAAACAGGAAGTAAGAGTCAGTGTGTTGTTGCGTCAGCTTGCTCTCCAGCCAGTCCAGGTTGGCCTCCACGTACTCCATGCAGTACAGAAGTCCACCGTTGGGTCCGAGCTTCAGGTTCTCCATAACATCATCCAGGGTAACCAGCTCGGAGATGTCCACCGCGCAGGAGTACGGGATTCCCTCGTTGGCTGGGTCCATGTTCACCACGACCACTTTGCGTCCCAGACTAGTCAGGAACTGCTGCATCCCTCGGCAGTAAGTGGTTTTACCTGAGCCTGGGGGTCCGATAACCACCTGACCGAAGCGCAGGGGGGGCTTCACTCCGGTCTGTGCAGACATGGTTTTCAAGAAGCTCCAACCAGGGTCCACATGTGATGACACGAACTGTGTCGGTATCCAGATGTGGCCCTAATTAAAGCGTCACTGCCTTTAGCTACGAACAGTTTTTTAAAGTTAGCATCAATAAGGCTAATGTTATGGTTAGCGTCCGGACGCGCACATCTAACCACAGAGATAAAATAAGGAGTCGAAGTTCTAAAACTTGATTAAAGTAGGACAGTCTGTATCAAAATAAACATAAACAAACAAGATTATTGTTGCAGCTGTATAGACAAGCTTAAACAGAATACAAACAATACTGATATTTACCGCACGTTGCTCAAAACTTAATGCGTGCTACCTAAGCTAAAGCTAACAGGAAGTACATCCGGGTTAAGACACACCTTTCAAAACAAAAGTCCATGTTTAACGTTGTGTGCACACTACACAGCGCATTTGGGTTCTGTTGTAGCCAGTGTAGCATTTTTCTGAATAAGAGGCCATCAAGGGGCCACAAAATTTATGAAGGGGCCAAATATTTGTTTAACATCCTTGCACACAAATCCCTAGTTTTGGTAAGTTATATATATGTAACCAGTCACACGTATTCAAACACTTATTTAAAAATAAAAGCTTGCACAGTAAATTCTTCTTACCAATTTTACTTGCATTTTTATTATATAAAATATTCTCAAACACACAGCATGTGTCAGATGAAAGACTTTTTCTGCAGGATAGTTCAAATTTTCTTAAAATGAGAATAAGACTGAGTGTGATTCATGCTGGACTTTCTTATTTGATTCATTAGCGCCACTAGTGTCTGAACATGGAACTGCACTCACAATCATTGACTTCAAGAGTTGTTGTCATATGTCCAGCATACAAGCAGTTACACGGTGCAATGAATTTCTTACTTTGCAGTTCCTACATTTATCGACAGTCCGAGAGATTATAAATAAAATACAATAGAGTACAAAAAGTAGGGTGGACAGAATTATAGACCAGTATTTACAGTATTTATAGACAGTAGCAGAATTTGTTGTGCAAAAAGTCACTGTATATAGATAAATATCAAACGTGATATAGACCAGACAATATAGTCACTAGTGTTATATTTATATTTCATAAACCAGTGTTACGCAGTAAATAACAATATTGTAGACCAGTAGGCGCAGAATGTGTGGTGGGCTCATATCACGGTCTAAAATATTGTTAATTACTGCATACCACTGGTTTATGTAATAACTGTATAACACTAGTGACTATATTGTCTGGTCTATATCACGTTTGAGGTTTACTTGCTCTTGAGCAAAGGACAGATTAGTGACAGGACAGGGGGCCAATCAGATTTCAGCAGGGGCCAATACCCCTGTGGCCCCGCCCCTTGTTGTAACACTTTTTCACTCAACCTCATTCTATTTTCTCATGTATGTATGCATATATAAATATATTTATCAGTTACCACTGGGGGAAAAAAAACATTTTTCAGCAATATCTGGAAAAATGTATATATATA